GTAAAAAAAAAATACTTAGTTTATGGTATACTATATTATTACAGGTCACATTACTTGAAAACGTGGACTACCATTGCATAATTTTCCAAGCGAAGAAAGAGCTGAACATACCAGGAACTCCTCTCATCAAGCTTCGTCGTACGTGTCCAAATGGAGATAACTCGTGTACGAGTACTAGGCAGAGAACCTTGTTCTATTATGTAGTGATTAAGTTCAAACATATTTGTACGTTCACTGTTAACGCGTACGGCGTTTACATAGTTACGAATGGGACTGATGTAGATGAACTAGGACGACTTGTGAGAGTCAGTTAGGATGACGGAATTCTATCGGCGCTAGACAAGACTTAATATGAGTTTGTTAAAAGTTTAAAGTATTCGAAACGATGCGCTCTGATTGGTTGATTCGTTGGAGCCGGCCAATTACAGCGCTGAACGCGTATACACAAATTTTGTCACAATTGTCTATTAACTTCCTCCTGTGTTGTTGATGAACCGTAAGACTCATTGTCCATGTAACCGCACGTCCTACGTTGACAATTGACGAAAATCCGCGCGGTGCGACTGACGACGCGTCTAGCGACTAAAATAAACAGATTGAAACTGATCAAGCCACGCGGAGCGGCGACCGGCGGCGGCGGCCAACATTCAGAAAAACAAAAGTTAATTAGGTTTTATTATTGGTTAGTTTTGTGTTTTTTATGAGGTTGGCTAAAATTGGAGTTCTAAGTTCCGCCTCTTATCTCTGTTATCTCTGTGGTCCCGGCGACAAACGTGTCTATCCGTAGCCAGCACACGCCGCTGCGCGAAATTTTCTGACAGATTTAGTCTGGCGCAGCTGCATGCGCCTAAGTACGCATAATGAATAACAATATCAAGTATTTCTACAATTGGCGGCTCATTAAATTCAACAGAAACATAATGTAATAAATGTTTCCAAATAGTTTTTGTGAATCTACCCGATAGTAAACATATTTTTATTCTATTCATCACATCGAGTCATTACAACATCTCTGTACTTAAATTTACATTTTTTTAAGTATACACGTATTTTCAAGTATTTTCGGGTTTTATTTACAAACCAAATAGGACCCTCTTATGTCTCACAAGTAGACACTGTCTATTAGGTGCTTCTTTGCCCTTATTACTTTTTTGTATCAGATTCGCATCGTTAACAACTATATAATTTCACATACACGTGACATCAGACCCGGAACAACAATTTGTGGATTACCAAGATTTGTTCCGTGTGGTAATCGAAACAATGACACGTTGCACATGCGCAGTATACGTGTATGTTAGTGAAACTATAGTGTTCCAAATAATTATGGGTTCATTGAGAAGTCGAAGTCAAAGGCATGTATTCAAATAAATTATCCATTAGGTACTTTGATTACGTAAAAGGAATTGTCCGTCAATCTGTATGCAATCCGTCAATGTAACAATAAATTTTGTGCATCAAAGATGAGATGTAATGTTTAGTATTATGGCAATTTCATTAAACAAACAAACAAAAAGAAAGTTGTATTTTGTTTTTGTTATAGAAACAGCATTGAGATGTAATAAACAATATTATGAGAACGTTTTGTGATGTAGTTTTATTGTAACATTAACATTAATAATTAACATTAACACTTTCACGTGCACAACGTATAGATACGTAAAAAAATCGAGATACGATGTCGCACAACGCATCAATACGTCCAATTTTAAGTTCTTTTTTCAGTCAGTACGTAAGAGAACGTCCATTTCTCACATAATCCTCCTATAGTGACGTCACAGTGTTACAACATATCTAAATCTTGATTTAGTAGTGTCACACAGCATCGACATTTTAAGCGTTTTGTAGGTGCTTCTCACACATACAAAGACATCTACTCACAAACGCAGAACGTTCATAGTCGTCAACTTGTCTATGCGCCGCCATACTGTCAGTCGGCCTGTGCACCATTACGCGACGCATGTGTGTAGCGAAGTGAGCTCCCGAGTTACGAAACTTTTAAATCGTAAGTTATCACATATTTTATACTGGATTTAAATAATAGAGTGTATATATAGAATACAATACTTATTTTCATATTTGAGCAACAATATAGTAGTTTTATTTTAGATATAATTATAGAAATTCAATTGTTTTAGATGAACAAAACAAAACGAGCGAGAAGAAATAAAAATAATAAAAAAGGTGACAATACAAGCTTGGATTCACCACAACCATGTTCTTCGGGCATAACAGTAAGTACTATTATAACATATTACATA